TGAAACCACAGGTCTCGGGGGTCTTCTGACCCATCACTGCCAGTTGCTTAGTCTGTTACATGTGGAGGTATCTCAGTGCGGGGCTGATGTGCCTCAAGCAGCAGACGTTTATACTGCGTAAATGTAGGTGCAGATTTACCTTCGGCAACCAGGGAGGTTGACTCTGTGTGTGCCTGTGTCTGAATGTATGTGCTTGCGTGGGATTTAAAGGATCAGGACATTGCTGAGAATTTAAGGTGGATCTGAGTCATACACTGTATCTTAATTAGTCTGTCTATACAATAACAGTGACTTGTAAATAGATCGTTTCAGCAGCCCTGACTCGTGCTTCTCATAGGGTTACTTTACCCTGTGCTGCCTGACAGGCAGAACAGCAGCAAAAAAACTCCTGAACAAGTAGATGTAAAGTGCTAGACCTTGGGGATGTTTTACTGCAGATCTGGCCTTTTGGTTCATTCTGTTTAAAGGCCACACTCCCTCTTATCTAGACTGTAAAATAGCTCAGTGCTTCTTTCTGCATTGAGTTCCTTGAGCTCTCAGCTTGCATGCTGCTGCACATGTCCATTGCTTGTCTTTGATGCAGAAAGCAGAACATCAGTCTCTCCTGAGAAGTAAGGAAGAGGGAGGAACTTAGTCATCAGTTGTTCATCTCTTTGGGGATTTTATATTACTGCCTGCCACTGTAGGATTCAGTCTTTTTCCCTGTAAAATAATAGCCACAGAGTATCTGAGGCTTTTCTGCATAGCAGTTCTGCACTGTACCTGCAGCCCAGCGTGAGAGAGGTTAAGGACAGAAAGCCCAAACGCTGTCAGGTGTTAGAAGACAGTCTCGTACCCTTGTTGCTCTCAGTTTCCTTCGCAATGCTGAACTCGGACACACATCAGTGACTGCTCCACAGAGAAACGTAGTGCGGGCGAGTGCTGCGGTACTATTGAATTTTGATCAGGAGCTGGCAGGCAGTAGAGAATGAAAAGCCTTTTGAGAAGAGCGTCAGCATGTTCACCGTAGCTGACTAACAAATAATGGTGCTTGTGCAGAGGAGCAGCATGGGGACAGAGCAGCACAGGGATTTCTCTGGGTAACCTTGGCTCCCTGCAGGGAGAGCGAGGAGCATTGGGATGAAGGCTGTCTGCAGGAAAGGTGCTTTTTTTTTTCTCCTGGGAGTAACAGAAGGGAGTGGCTCAACCTTATCAACGGAAGAGGCGTGGTTGTAAATTAGCATTATCCTAAATTGTCCCTTTCCTGCCATCACCACCCTTTCCCTGTGCCCAGGCGCCCTTAGCCAGGCTCTGAAGGGTATGGAACAGGTTTCTGAAGAACAGGGATTTAAACCCAAATCTGTGACTGGCTTTTGCTGGAGCAGAGGATGTGTTTCAGCAGTGCTGGCACGGGGTGGACCACATCCTGGCATCTGGTAACGTGAGCATGCCGGCCGCTCTCGTAGAGGCATGAGTGAAGGTCTGTGCTGTGGCTCAGGCTGCTCGCTTGGCGATGGGGAAGGTAGGGTGTCCTCTAGGATCTGTCACACCTCTGTCACACTGGGTGACAGGCTGTCTAAGCTGAAAAGGCTCCAGATTCAGACAGCTTAGGTTTTATCTTGACTTTGAACATTTTTCTCCTTGTATTTGTCTGATCTTATAGAAGCCTACAGAGGCAGCTCAGGCAGGTGGGTTGGTGTTGAGCAGTGGCTGTCTTCCATGTTAGTCTCTCTTTCCCCTCCTTTGGTGCCTGCAGGTGGCTTCAGCCTGGGCCATGGGACATGTTTTTCTTCTTCTTGGGGAAAGGAGTGTGCCTGAACAATACTGTTCAGTTGTGGACAAGGTTCTCCAAGAGCAATTTTGGGCTATTGCTGGCACTTTAAAGTGCTGACCAGCCTCCTCTAGCGACACCTGGTCAAGTAGATGGGGGTGGCTGCAGGAGGGTTTTGTCCAGGAGTGCTCAGCACCAACTGCTGTTGGCAGGGGGTAGAAGGGATGGTGGCACTGCCCAGGTGCCAGGTAAATCCCTACAACGTGCATGCAGCCACCTCTTCTCCAGTGCTTCCTGGAAAGTGCCTGCAGCCCCTTTTACAGCTTGCAACGTACCTGTCGCTCGATTCTGCTCTTGCGTGTGTATTCTGAGTAAGAATGGACATGGAGCATGCAGCTCCTTGGGCTGGTTTGTGTTTGAGGTGAATTAAGGACTGTTGGCAATGATGGAGAGGCACAAGAGTCGTTAGTTAGAAACAGCTTCCTCTCTCCCTCCCACTTGGCTTCTGTCTGCTTGTCCTCACAGGAGTGCCTGGAGATAGACAGATGAGAGGACTGGACTTGGATTTACTTTTTCCCCCTTGAAGAAAAATACCTGGCTGAACGAGACCTTTCTGTTTAATTGTTTCTGCATTTTTCCCTGCTGAGGGACTTTCATGGTTTCGCAGAGCAGTCATGTTGTTCAGAGGCAGGCAGCTGGGCTGGTGTCTCGGACAGGAGATGTGTCCCCATACTGGGCTCAGGGCTATAGCAGCAGGCTCTCAAATGCTGAAGCACTGCAGCGAGCAAAGGACGGCCTTTAAACTGCCAGCAGTTAAGCTTGATTTTTTCCGACTACGTAGACGAAACTTTTAAGACAAATACTCCGGTTCCAGTTTGATCTGCAATTTATTTGAATGCACAAGTTTCCCTGAGGGCTTTTCCAGGGTGATGTGGATGGGACAAGAAGGACATCTAGTGGCTGGCTGGGACCGTGGTGGCACTGTCCAAGCATCTCAGCAGCAGCAGAAGCAGCAGACCGAACAGTCCTGCCCCTGCCTGCTGTTTGGCTATATTTCCCGATTTGATGTACTTATAGTAGATGTTCCGCAGCAGTGTGCCTACAAAAGTTTCGCATTCTGGGGAAAGACAAGTAGCTGTTTTGCCTGCAACAGTATATCAAATCCTAGTTCTGGGAGCAGCAGTCCAATTTGGAGATGTAACGCAAGAGAGGCACGTTGCCATGGACAAAAAGATATTGCGGTCTAGATTTGCATCTCTTCCTGGCTCGATCACACAGGTTCCTGATCCTAAACCTCACAGCAGTGCTGGAGGAGGAGAGGATTGCTGCTCTTGCTTTCTGGTGTTAGAGAGCTGGAGTGTAAGTGTGGTGAGCTGGGTCCAGGCAGCTGTGAGTGTGAGCTCCTGCCTTGGCAGACAGCTCTGGCAATGGACGTGTCGTGTCCTGCTTGCTCTTCCCGGAGCTGCAGCAAACACGAGAGAGGTAAAGTGAGCCCCTGTCTGCAGGCAGACAAAAAGGGGAAGGATGGAGGGGAAGGGGCAGAATTGCCATGACTTGTTAATTCATTCCTGGCTGTTGCTGAAGCCTGAGGATTTATTCAGCTGAGAGCAAAAGCCAGTGCTGGAATGTGGTGTGCAATAAAACACAGTAACCTCTTCTAGAGTGCTGGTCCTGATGGAAAAAGTCATAGTGGTGTAGCTGTGTAGGAGTGAGTGAGCTTTAAACATATCATGAGGTGACCTGCAACTGATTCAGCTCATGCTTGCGCACACAATCTGCGTATGTTGGGCCATTTTGGTTTTGGGTTTTTTTTGATGGGTTTCTAGGTTTGTCTCATAATTTGTTTCCATCAGTGTGAATGTGCCCTTCAGTTCCATGCGTGATGAGTGATGGTCATCACACACTGGAAATGCTTGTACTTCTAACATGTAGACCCCCGTGCTTTGAAGAATTTTGGCTGTAAGCTGGTCTGCAGTCCCAGTTCCCAAAGGGCCTGAGATCCGAGCAATGCATATGTTCCTGTGCATATCTGTATGTATATGCACAGGTGGAAGATGGTGGGGGGACCCAGGTTCCTGGTAGAGGTGATGAAGAGGAAATCATGGGTATACAGTGTACTGAGGGGAAACCAAGACATATTTGAAAGTGCTGAGCGTTAATATGCTATTGCTTCAAGCGACAGCTTAATGGCCTGTCTCACAGAGGCGAATTGCTTCTCTGAAGTTTCTAACGGCGCCTTTTCTCTCCAGAACCGGAGCCATCCACATCGGTGACCGGATATTAGCGATTAATAATGTGAGCCTCAAGGGCAAACCACTGAGCGAAGCCATTCACCTGCTGCAGATGGCGGGAGAGACGGTCACTCTGAAGATCAAGAAGCAGACAGAAAGTGAGTTGGGGAGCCTAGTTTGGGGTGGGAGGGCAGAGGTGCACCTCAGCGGGGACCCTGGGTGGTGGAGCAGGTAGTGCTGTGGGTTTTTCTTCATGTGTTGTGGAAGGTGAAATGAGGCAGCGTGGTTGGGGCATGGCTGGGGTCAGAGGGAAACGGTGGGTATTCTTTGAACTTCTGACTCACAGATGAAGAAAAAAGACAACCAGGGGCTCTCTGTGGTACTGGCAAGAGATTAGAAAGCAGGTTTATTGGCAATAATAATTTTTTTTCAGATTGACACCTTGTGCTGTTGGTGCCATTCCCTGTCTGTGTGGGTGTTTCACACAGAAGTGAAGCAGAAGTTGCTTTTAAAAGTAGAAGAGAAGAGTGCAGGTTTTTTTTTTTTTTAATATAACTCCCAAAATTGAGCAAGCGGACTCTGAGCTCGTTGAATCCATGAAAAAAACACCCACCTTTAATTCAACTTTTTGAAAGCGATTTGCAATAAATCTTTTACGCCCCTTTTCCTGGCTTGCGGTTCTAAGATCATCTTTCAAAGCATCTACCTTCACTCTAGAAATCCTATTATCATTTCCCTGCCAAGCTCCCTGTGGCTTTGAAGCTGTTCTTCTTGACATGATATGAAAGGGCAGGAGGATACTTATTACAGGCAGGCCACTCTTTTGGGGGACAGGGCAGGGATTGGCAAAACTAGGGAACATGCAAACTTTTCTCCTCAACTGCGTGATCACAGCCAAACAGAGGCTTTTTGATCAAGTTCAGAAGGTAATGGGTGCATTCTGTCTGCATTTCTGTCTCTCCCCACACCTGTTATTTTCTCTCTCTTTTGTGCCACGCTTCTGCAGTCTCTATATTTAGCTGGACCTACCCAGGCATTGACCCACGGTGTTGTGGGAATTAGAAGAAATTAAGTGATAAAGCTCTTCTAAGCAAGCATGGCCTATGGGATGTCTGTCCTGCATCTGAAAAAGTAGCATTGCTCTGAAACATAGCGCTTCTGTAAACCTCAAAGCAGTTTGCAAATGTTTGGCAACACACCTATTTTACAAATGGAGGAAGCCCAGGCAGGGAATGGGGACTTAGCAAATAGAAGTAGAACTGGGGAATTGATTCCTCTTCAAGAAACCCCAGTCTCATTCTCTGCAGCCAAGTGTCTTGATCCTTGGTCTGAAATACTCTTTTTTTTTTTCCCCCTGCTGACACTTAGCATTGTCTCAGCCACTCATTGAAATAATTGACATGCAAGTGCCAGTTGGAGACTCGTTAATCATTCTGAGAATGAAGCAGGTGTAATTGAAATTTCAGGGTAATCTTGAGTTAATCATGGTGAACAATCTTCTGAACACTTGGAAAATAGGGACTTTCAGGACGCTGAGCTATGTTTGGTAAGATAATCTGTCCTCATTGACAAATGCAGACTTTCAGAGGGCTTTTTATCCCAGCCTCTGCAAGTTGGAGATCCAGGGTGTGGATGGCTAACAGGATATCTAATCAACAAGGACTTTAAAATATTCAGTACAAAGAAGTGCTTGTGCTGAGAAACCATTCCTTGCATAGCTTTTACCTGAAAGGGAATTTGATATAATGATAATAAGGGCCTATTATTACTAAAATAATGAAAGGGACAGTCTGAGCTTCATCGTGCACATTCAGCTTTCCATTTTCTAATTACTAATCAGGGGAAATTCAGCCTCACAATACCAGGCCCAGGAATTCCACCGTTGTCATGAGGCTGCATGGGAGACTGGAGAGGTGGTGATTAGCCTTGAATTGGTAGGAGGTTGTGCAATCTTGGAAGGGAGCTATAACTTCAGCTGCAGTAGTTTGGGACCAGGTTGCATTGTTGTTGGAATCTCATTAAAACATCCGCTTGTAACAGAAAGTTTGCAGCCAGCACCCTGAGTAGGTGCTGCTCTGGGTAAAAAGGAAGCCCTCTGAGACCAGAGAAGCTATGGCCTATTACTTGCAGAGGCCAACACTTCTCTGGGCAGGGCTGTTTGGAGGAAGCCTGCAAAGACACAAGAAGATGTGCTTGTGAATTGAGATTAGGCCCCAACTCTCTCATATTTGGGAATCCTCAAATCCCCATGGTTGTTCCTTGTATTTCATGTGCTAAAAACTCAGAAAGGCTTTTTTTGTGTTCAGATTGAGATAAGAGTACTGCATTAAATCCTTTCGACTGCATTGCATGGGCCTTTCTCAGCTACTTTTGAAGAGCTAAAGAGGTACTTCAAAAGACTTACAGTACCTGGGCTTGCTCGGATGTCAGCATAAGCCTTTCCCTGAGGCTTGCTCTTCGTGCATGCTAAAGCAGCATGTTCTGGTTTCAGAATCCTATCCCAAGAAGTCGGGGAGTATAAATGAAGTGAGTGACCCAGAAGACGAACTGACGGACTCACAGAAAACTGGCAAGCTGTCTGAGATATACTCCACCACAATTCCTAGCGTGGACAGCGCTATGGAGTCCTGGGATGGCTCTGGCATTGATGCTGGGTATGGGAGCCAAGGTAAGCCAGGGTTGTCTTTTCTTAAGGGTCTCTGGGCCAAAGTGAAGATAGGCAGAGCCTCTGAACCCGTCTGGAGACTGAACATGACCCAAAGCCTGTGGTCTGATCACATTTGCGTGGCTTTTGCTTCCAGCAAGGAATAAAATGTATTTTAAAATGCACTCATGTGGTGCTCTGAGTTGATATATCTATTTTAAGTTTTTATTGGCACACTTCTTCTGGCTTATATGGCATCATACTGTTCACAGCATTTTCAGAACCATTACAGCGCTTTATAATTCACATAATCAGAGGAAGTATCCACTGGCTGCATGTCTTATAGATTATTTGGTCCATAGCTCACTTTTAATTCTCCAGAGAGGCCATGTAGGACATATTAATCCTCTTCAGGATGTTTTAAAATCCACAAGAATGTCTTGTGACTAGAAGCACTCACTTAACAAAATAATTAAGGTAATACGACAAGAAAGTATCTCTAACTCTCTAGTGAGCGATCAGATGAACACATGTCTTTGAGGCCAGGTTTATTCAGCTGCGGCTTCTGGCAGACATCTGCAATTGGGATGAAGGAGCTCTAGTCCTGGGAATAGATTTTTACTTGGAGAAAAGCACTGGAAAACAGTCATTCCGGTTCAGATTTAGTGATGTAAGCTAGTATTAGCCCATGCTGAAACAAAACAAAACCCTGAATCACCTCCGCAAAAGGAAATTAGTGAAAAGATTGCTGTCTGGAGCAGAATGTGAAAACAGGGAGGGATGCTTCAGGAGCACTGTTGCAAAGCACCTTCGATGTGCTGAGCAAGGTAGGTGCGTGCATGTGCTCGCTGCACTCTGACTTAGAACTAGGTTCAAAGGACAGCACAACACGGGTGTCTTCCACCATGCCTGCATCTTTCTTCAGCCTCCGTTGGTCTGAAGTCTTAATTTGGGAGTGCAGTTGGGACTGGAGGCTTCATTAAGGAGGAATCCCCTGGCCTTCATAATGCTGCAATCCTTCTCCATCTAATTGAATGTTAATACAAGTTGGTCGCTGGATTTTGCTTTTACCAGTAAATGGAGAACGAGTAATTGAGCGCAGAGCCCTGGGGAATGGGGCTGTTGCCAAGTTGCCCAGCATCCACTGACTGGAACTTTGCTTCAGGGGCTCTCTCATCTTCCTTGGTAATTTTATTTGGCTGCATGGTGGTGTGCTGGTGCTGGCTGGGAAGAGGGATGCTGGAGGGTAGGAAGGAGAACATACAGAGTTGCCCATGGCAGGGAAAGCAGCATGCAGGGACACTTGAGGGGTGCACAGAGCCTGGAGACTGGGGTTTATACCCCAAATTGAGAAATATAGATCAGGCTCTGCAGCCTTGTAGGTTTAGGTTCATCCACAGATTTAGGAAATCGTTCGAGGAAGGGTTTGGGAGAGACAGCTGTGCTGGATCTGGTGGGAACATGCCACCAGGTGGCTCTGAATCCCAGGGATCCAACCCATCTCCCTGGGAGGAGGAGGTGAAACCGATGGCACCCAAGTGGCAGTTCTGCACACATGCCCGTGCAGTCCCTGGCCCCCTGCGCCCAGCCCAAACCTGCTGCCCAGGGACCTGCATCCAAGGACCTTGTTCTGCTCTGGCAGGCAGCAAACGCTCCTGACTTCTGTAAGATGTTGGCAAGCACTTTTCTGGGGCTCTCTCCAGAGCAGTCTAACCTTTAAAAACACACACAGGAAACGCTCAGCTAAGTGAAATAACAGGCCCTGGCATTTTCAAAGAAAGTGCTGGCATTGTCTTTGGGTATTTCCAGTGCTCTTAGCTGTTTGGGAGGTCAAGTGTCCCTTAATTATGTGTTTCTCTGTTACCTCTTCCTGTTCGCTGGGCACAGTGAGTGATGGAAGTGTACGATGTTTCTTGGAAAGGCTGTGAAGATTTCTCTGAAACGTTGAATGGGCAGCAGGAGGCGGGCAGGGGACTTAAGAGATTTATTTCCACTGCAGATGGCACTGACACTGCTGAGGAATGCTCTGTTTTGGAAAGTTTCTGTCCAGGCAGCTCCTCATGACAGCTGGGAATATTGTGACTTGGTAGTGATGGATTTGCATCTCTGGAGTAAGACACCACAGTATGGAAAAGTCCATGGGAGATTTCATCCTAACGGTCCATATTGGTCTCCTGTCAAATGTGATACAGATGAGCCTTCCCGTCTCTCAAGCCAGCAGTTTTTTCCTCCTGTTCCTTGCCTCTCACACACATGTCCCTGAAGCAGTTTTCTGTATGTACACCAACTGATCCCAAAGGCATGGGAGGGCTCTGCTAGCTGTGGGAACTGGCTGACAGCCCTCAGGATCAGGGCTGGCTCTTCTTCATTTACCACTGCTGAGCCCACTGGAGCTGGTGACCACCACCAGGTACTGTCAGCACCGTTACACTTTGAAGGGAGGCGGCTGCTTCTGTCTGCTCTGGATGCAGTTTCCTTGCTGCTGTCCTTCTATATCCTATTACTTTTTTTGTGTGTGTGCTGTCCTTTAAGTCCCAAACATAGTTGAGAATCTAAATTAAGATTATTTTTTTCCTAATAGAAATCAGGCCTTCAAATCCTTCAAAACGAATGGGGTTGGACATGCAAAGGGAAGCTTGGCAGCATCTTCTCTTTACCCTTTGAAGGACTTGCTATATTTAAAGGTGGCTTCTTCAACAGCACAATTTCTGTTGGGTTCAGTGTGGAAACAGGAGCCGTTAACCAAGGTTGGAGCTACCTGGGGGTAGGATCTGTGTCTGTGGGTATATGTAGTCCCAGGTCTGTGGATCCCACACCCACCCCACAAAACTGCTCAGAAATTGGGGAGAAAAGGGTAAATAGGGTGCCTTATGACAAGATCCTGAGAAACTGCTTTGATTAAAGGGAGAAGAAATGGGAAGAACAACCTCTTTTGGATGACTGAGATGGAAGCAGTACACAACCCAGTACGCAACTCAGGTTTGGGACCTGGGGAAGGAGGCTTTCCTGGCCCAGCGTGACTTGCTCTATTTGGATTTTCTGACCAGGTATTACCCTCTCTCCACACCCTCTTGCCTTCCCTAGGTACATACATACCTCAGGCTGCGGGCGTAGCCCTCCATCCACACGAATGGAGACACAGCAGGCAAAAGAGCAGCACCCCTCCAGGGGACCCCAGAAAAAACTACCCCTACATGGATGGAAGCTTCAGTGAAGATGACTGGGACAAGCCCAGCAGGTATGGAGGGGTGGGAGGAGGCAGGGAGGCACATCTGCAAATGAGTAGGGACAAGATGTCATGGGAATGTGGTGGAGCAGTCAGCAATGTCCCCATCTAGATATCAGGCAGCCATGGGGAGGGGTGCTGGGGTGGCGACCTGCTCTGTCAAACCACCTCCACATTGCCAGGTTACCTTTGGTGTAGCTCTGTGGCACCTCTGCCATGACCAGGTGACATTTGTGTCTGGAGTTAGGGCGGTCTCAGCTGCATGGACCACAGGTTCTTACCACATCTCGTACTCCTGCCATGTAAAGGCTGCAGTATTTTCATAGTTTAGGTGTAAGTTTAGCCCATAGGCAGGGCTGTCCCCACATGTGTTGGCCAGACTTTGTTGAGTGAGGATGCAGCTTCACAACAGCTCAATGCCACAAAGAAAAAAGGCCAACCAAAGCCCTTGGAGAACCAGTATGAGGCTGCATGTCCAAGTTAAAATCTCCCAAAGCTGCGCCTGGACGTCTCTCTCCATCAAAACCACGCTGAGTGAACATGGTCAAATTAATCCCCCAGCTCAGCCAGCATGGGAGAAATCCTGTAACATGTCCTGAGCCCATGGGCTGTAGCTGCCCCTCACTTTGAGTGAAAATCCTACTGGATCTGCCGTGGCCAGATGTTGCCTCTCGCTGAGCCACACATGGTGGAAAAGCCTTGTTGCTTCGTAACTAACCCTCCCCTCGACATCCTCCAGAGTCCCCATAGTTGTGTGTGTTGTGTTGTTACTGTCAGTTCTTTTTTTTCCTTATTTTTTTTCCTTAACTTTTGTTTGTCCAAACAAAACCCTTAGAACATCTCATGGCCATTTCCACCTATTTAAAGATGATCAAACTGGCAGGAAGGCTGGCAGCAGTGGAGACTTTGTTCTTGTTTTGCCTCTCAGCAAGAGCCAGCTCACAGAGGTCGATGATCCCTCGTGGCCCTCCCAGCGAGGCCGCCGACAGCTGAAGTTAGCAAATTTGAGTGCTCAAAGCCCTACATGTCCCTAATGAGGGCTCTGAGCCCTGATGTCAAAGTGCAAGTGAAATGGTTCATGCCGCTGAGCCCTCTTTATTAGGGAGAAAAACAAAATGTCTTTAACTTAGGCTGCCTTTAGCCTGGAAAAACCTGCTGACCCAGTGATGTGGGAGCCCATACTGATTCATCCGTGTCCTGGATGTGTTTGTTATATTGTTGATCTGAGAGGCAAGAAACTGGTAACTGGAAGGGACGTTTGCCTCTTTGGGAACCTGGGAGCAGAGGAAGGAAATGAGTAAGGGGAAAGAATCGAAAGTTCCTTTTGGGGGGAAATTTTAGTTTGTTTTTATAAAGTCTTGCTGGGTGTTTTTTTGACCTTTCTGCCTAGTGTAAAGGCTACTGCCCTTTAAAAGCAGTAGGTAGGGAATGAATTTAAAATACAATAAGCCATGCCAGATACTGCTCTCTCCAGGCAGGCCATGATCTCACAAGGAGCAAAATGGTGCATGTGTGAGTTTATGCCTGCTACAGACTCCCATTTAAACCAGTGGATGAAAAGCAAAGTGTGTGCTAAAGACTTTGCAGTTAATAGAGATCTGGAAAAAGCTCTATTAATAGCCGAAGGGGTCATTATATATTTAATGGAGGCTAACTCTCTTTGACTTGTACTCAAGTAAAATGCTTTGACTTTGCTAAGTAGCTCTGGTGGATGAGCATCCCTTCCTGTTTGCGGTGCTGGTGATCGTTAAGCCATGTGGGATGCTGCCAGATGTTGCAGAGGTGAAGCTTCATCCATGCAGCTCCTAATAAGATGTGTTGAAGATGCATTAGGGCTGCTCTAATGTCACTGTCCCCTTGGGGTCTCTTCCCATGACACATTAGTGGGTTTATCGTGACCTTGATTTAACACCACAGAGAGTTTCCTTCAAGAGGCTCCTGTTAAACTGAGTGCTGATGGTCTGAGTTTTGCACAGAGTCTGGTGTTCAGTAAGCAGTGTCCGGTATCACTTACTTCTCTGGCTTATTCAGAGGACTTCAGCATGTTTAATTGCTATTTACTTTAGAAGTCTGAGAATTGACCCTGGCTTGTGATCAGAGATAAGAGATGCTGAAACTGCCAAGGTGGGAAATTGCAGAAGCCCCAGCAAGATGCACACAGTGTTCACATGAATGTGTGGTTCTCTCTATCCTTACTCTCTGTTGTAGACAGAACTGGTGAGTGCCATGACTATTATATAGCAAAAAAAAAACCAAACAGAACCAACTCCTGAAAGTAACAGCTCGGTTCCCTGGTCATTTTGTATGGGTTATACATGACACTGTCGATACTGCTGGCTGTAGTGTGCGTTTGCTTGTCCAGCCCAGGGCAATCATTTTTATATACATCTTTGCATTATTTACTCTCATAGAGACCTAATGTATTTATCATTTTCTCACCATGTCTGTTACCCTCTGTGTTTTTCTCTCTCTTCTCAGGTGTTCTGTGTCTCAGATCTGAGCTCTATCCCATCAGCCTTTGTACTAACAGTCTCTGAGGCTCCTGGTTTACCCATAATGCATCCTTTTTTCTTTCACTTCTCTATTTCACCAAAACGTCTTCCTAAACCTACAATCTTCCTACAGGCACTTTTTAATTTACCCTTTGAACTTTGGCATTACTACACCAACTTAATTCTTCCTTTGAAGGACGCTTGCCCTGTTAGTAAATGCATGGAGGTCTCGTATTCGGACTCTTGTCTGAAAAGTTCATATTGTTTGCTTTTGTATATGAAGACTCTTCAAGTCTCTGCTTTTACTGGTGAGACACTTGCTGTAGCCTTGCGACTTTCATCCCGCTGCAGAAGAGTGCTGACAATGTTTGGTTCCTACGTTACAACAGATACCCCAACCGCCAAAATGGCCTTGAGACCACTCACGAGGATAGTTTTTGGCGTGTTTTTGGAGAAGCTTTGGAGGATTTGGAAACATGTGGCCAGTCTGAACTTTTGAGGGAGATTGAGGTAAATCACTTTCTGAATTTGCTGCTGATCTGACTGTTTTGCTCTTGCCGTCAATGTTAGACTGTTTCCCCAGATCTGTTAATTGCCCGTGCGTTTCCCCAGATCTGTGCTGCCAGTGGTGTGAAGTTTGAATCTGTGTCAGTGTTTGTGCTAATGGATAACTATGCCTCATTAGACAGTGGCTTGCGTGCACTTTTCCCCTGAGCTGATGACTTACCCACCAGGAACTCCATGCTCTTTTTTGCAAACTGTTGCTGGCCAACAATCTTCACATGACTGTTGGCAAACCTTCCCTATCAAACGGTAAACCCTGTGCTTGGAAAGGTATCATCTGTCCAAAGCACTTAAAGGCCAAGCAAAAGGAGCCCCCCAAAACCCCGTTGGGACTGAAGCCTTGGCTTACTTCAAATATAGACAGGCCCAAGATATATATTGCATTCAGCTGTCACTCTGTCGGAAACTGTTTCAGTGAAATAGGTAATTGGAAGCTTTTCAGCCGGCCTTCCCCATGGAAAAATCTGAGAAAGTAATTGCTTCCTGCAGAAATAAAGGTGTTTCCTCTCTTCACAAACCACTTTCTCTTTTCTTTATCCAAAATGCTTTGGAGGTCATGTTATTGTGTCCGGTTATAGGATGAGAAGCCTGGATCTCTAAGCTGCAGGCTGCAAATAAAGACCTCCCTCGAGACTGTTGAGCAGCACGAAGCAAACCTGCCCGGCAGGCTGGAACCTGTGCTGCTCCCCTCCTCAGTTCAGCTCCTGCAGCCCGAAAGAAAGAGCAGGACCCTGCAAGCTCATCTCTCCCCCTGCCTTCTGGGTGCAGAGGACTGGGGAGAGCTCGCTGGGTCGTGCCCTCCATCACCCCCAGTGGGACTGTTTTTATGCACAGTTGTATATCACTTAGCCTTCAGAGAAAAAAGTCAGTTTATGGATAATTGAAGGTAGAAAAGGAAAGTCCTGTTTTGGTCTATATGGTGACAAGGGACTTACTAATTGTTCTTTCCTCCTTGATACTTAGCAACAGTAAGTGGGGGAGGAAATTGCAATTAAATTTATTATGATGAAGCATGCAACGGTGTATTTATAATCTTAACTGCTTAAGGAAATGCTGACTAAAAAAAACCAAACAAACAAACAACACAAAACCCAAAACCCCCACCCCTCACAAACTATAACTTCTTCCCTCAATCACTTGTTTCTTGGACCTGAATGTATTTAGAAATGAGTTTAGGCAGACACTATCAACCTTTCTGAACTGTCGTTGACTCCTTAAGAAAAAGTACTGCTCTGAAATGATGCATAGATGTTTCTCTTCCATGTAATGACTGGCATGTAAATGTGAAAGAAGGGATTTGTTGGACTACTGTGAAATGCCAGGATAGAGAAAATATCTTTCTACCTAGTCCTTTTCCAGGGATCTGTGGTACAGAGATGTGTGGGCTGTTCATTTATGCTGTTTTAAGGCTTTGGAGCTTTGACAGTTATATCAATGCTTTTAAAAATGTAAAGAAATTTTACAAAAAGCTGAGCACTTCGAGGGCTTTGGTGTATTTAGCAGATTTCTAGAATGTTTTGGAAAGTTTTGGGGTCAAAAGGAAAGTGCTGTGTTTTTAGCAGAAGTCTGGTGGGTTTTAACTCCCCTTTTATTGAATCCAAAGTACCGCTGATCTTTTCCTTGCCCTCTGTGTGCCCATCCTTCCTGAAGCATAGTGTGAGATGTGCAGTGCTCACTGGGGCTTTTGCTGTATCACAGGTTTCTAAGCCCCAGCTCTTGGCCTCCTGTCATTTCATGACAGTCACAGATTTTTATTTTGGTAAATTTTTTTTTTTAATTTGACCCTTCATGCTCCACGTTTGAAAAAGAATAAGAGTCTTGCAAGATGACCCAATATAGCCTGGAAACAGGTTCACACACAGTAGCAATCCACTCCGACCCTGCAGGGTATGGGTAGAAACAGGCTTTTTCCAGTATATCTAGTGGAGCGTATGTCCCCGCTTTGCTTTGAGGGCAACCAAGACATGGGGAAAAATAATGTGGTGCAGCCACAGGCTGGAGAAGTCCAGAATTGCCCTTTCTGCTGTTTGCACTTAACCCAAAGCACCTAGCAAATTGCTTATGATGCTGCAAGGAGTATTTAATACCTTGAAGACAGAGAAGGTGTTGAATGCTGTTGGGTACTGGCCAGTTATGATATTTTCAGCGCATGAGGGAGGACAGTAGCACAACGTGCATAGACCTTTCTGTTCTCCTCCCTGGCTCTGCGATGCTCATGTTGGTACAGCACAGCACGGTGTCCTGGGGGCTGTTGACGCTGCCTGAGGTCAGTGAACAAACGTAACCTGGTTGGCTGTACCTCTGTTAATCTGTGTTTTGAGTATGTGGTAAGTTAGCGTCCTTCCAGTATGTAGCAGATATCTGAGTTTTGTCCAAACTCACGTTGATTAAGTCATTTTTGTGCAAAGACCTGAAAAGCACAAAGCTAAAAGGTTTTCTGCATTTTCTCCATCCCTATTTGGGATAATGTGGGTAGTTCTGGCATTTTCATACTGCCACCAGGATTCGCTTTATTTGCCTTCATTCCAGCTTGGGGCAAAGAGCTTGAGGGCCTTGATTACAGATTTAGTCAGATGATATTTCCCCTGTGCACAGGAGGAATTGCTCTTTGACTTGCCATGTTTAACATTGCAGAATTTTGCTATCTGCTCCCTACCTTTCCTTTTATTTCTTCTACCTTTTGACATTTAATGGGACTGCAGACCCTTGGAGCCTGAACTTTGAAATGACAGTTTTCATTACGCCGTTTAAATGGACTCTGTGACCTGGAGCCAGTTGAGGTTCCACAGACTGGATTCTTGACTTCTTCGTTAGCTTTGATCAATGTAATCTCATTAGTGAAAAGCATTGCCAAATGGAGTAGAATCTACTTAGGGGCATCTTTTAATGGATGCTATCAAGGATGACCAGGCTTAAAAAGTACTTAATTTCATATTTTTAACTCAGTTTTGCTCAGTGACAGCTGCCATTTACTGACAGATAAAATCCTAATTTCTCTGCTGAATTGGCCTCAGTGGAGTCCAAGGTATTGACTTCCCTGGGTCATTGCCAGCACTGTGCAATGCTGATGGTGAGCTGCAGCCTGCAGTGGTGGGCTGGAGATCCAGGCAGATGCTGGTTTCTCTGGGAGCACCCTGAGATTGGGATGTTCATCCTTCTTGACTACCGAGAAGGTTCCTGCACAAGGTGAGGCCTCCTTGGCCCTGTTTGTGTAGAAGGGGTCATCAAAAAATAAGGAGATGCTTCACAAATGCTTTCTTCTGAGATAAAGTTCCATATTGGAATACGGGTGGAGAGCACACAGCATGTCAGCAGCAGACCTAGCAGAAGGCTCCTGAGATCTGGAAATGGCTTTTATAGCTGACTGGAAGAGCTTCTTGGTACTTATTTTCTGATTAATGAGAACAATGGTGCCCCCCTGTTGTTGTCTGTGCCATTTTTGTGCTGCGTGGTTCATCTCTTCCTGCTGCTGGCTCAGCAGAGTGACTTTATGCCCTCACCCTACAGGCATCCATCATGACAGGGAGCGTGCACAACCTGGGCCTGGAGGGCAGCAAGCTGCTCCTGGACTCTGTCAACCCATCAGGACCAAGCCCATTGAGGAAAGCAAACTCCAGCTGTGATGATGGACAGACGGACAGCAGTTCCTCTGCCAAGAAGAACGAGAGGAACCTGGACATGAAGAAGATCGAGAAGGAGATGCAGGAAATCATGTCCCCTACCCCCCTTGAGTTTCACAAGGTCTGTGTTGTCAAGGGTTGGTCTGGCTGTGGTGCTGTAGTACCTCAATGGTTAAAGTTATAGAAGCTTTGCAACCTTGTAAAAAATCTCCTTTGTTCAGAGGGACCCCCAGAAAATGTTGCCTGTTAAAGTTGCCCCTCACCAATGTCTACAGCAAAGGTTTCCAGACAGTCAGATTAAGACAAAGGGCCTCTTCAGAAGAGTAATAGCATTTAGCTGCCATGCTTCAGCGGGGTTCAAACCTGTGCTTTGCTGGTTCCCTTTATTTAAATGATACTTCCAGGTCCTTGTGTTCTGGAGTTCATTAATTGGTGCTACAGATACAGGTGAGAGATCTCAAAGTATGGCTCCATGGAGACCCATCAGCCCTTTTTAGGTGGCACGCTCCATTCAGTAGGCCACTTTTCATATAAGAAATAATTTATAATAGCCTGTTTTCCCTCCCCTTCCACTCCACCCCCAGCCTTTCCTGAAGGGGTGCAAATGGTGGAAATTCAGTGGTGGGATACTTGTTTGACTTCAGTACCTAGCTGAACGTAGCCAGTTTAAACATGGTGCCAGTCAACGGTAATTAGAAAAAGTCATTAACTGTAGAAGCTGCTGATGCAGAATGCAAGAAGGGAAGGGAACTGGAGAGGTTTCAAAAAATTTGATTGCCTTTTCTTTCCTTGTGTGACTTTAGAATGAAACCTGCAGTTATGGTAGCTGGAAAAAACAACTTTTTTATGTTTGATCTACTGTTGTCCTTTAGGGCATGGCAAATGGGTCCTTAAATAAAACTCCTTCATTCCTAAAGGAGGAGAGCTGTGTAATTAGGCATGTTATAGGGTGACTCTTCATTCTGCTGAAGCATCTGGTGTTGGCTGTGTTTGGAGATGAGGTTGCGGCCAGGTGGGCCACTCCTGCGCGTCATCCTGGGCACTGTCCTTCCCAAGGATCACACATCCATGAGGCTTCACCCAGCCAAGAGCACAGTGATGGAGTTAGCGCCTCATGGTAGAGATGTACTCCCAATTCACAGGAGGCAAAGGGGGATTTTGGTGGTGTTGGGGAATCAGTTGTCCCTGGCTCCCAGTTTTACCCTATGGCAAGATATGCTTCCAGCAGTGCGCTTCTCCTTTAGATGAGGCCAAAGCATGATGTGCTCAAGGGAAGGGCGATGAGGTTACCCATTTCTTGTCCTCAGTATGTCAGCACTTACTGATACGAATTTTCTGAAAAGAGCTCATGAATAATATGGAGAAGTTTAGATTTCCCTGCTGAGTGATGTATTAAAAATGAGCTGTCTTCACCTTTGATGCACTACGTTGAAAATTCCCCGTGAACATACTGATTTTTTATGTGCTGGTCTGGCATACACAGAGGATGCACGGCATAACCTGGGCCAGGGAAGGCGATGCTCCATTAATAACACTTGCTTTGTTGCTCTTTGGGTGAAATACAGCAGCTGTCTGTTATTACACTGCTTGCATTTCCTTCCACATCCAAGGCAGAGGAACTGTCATGTGGTTGGTTATATATCAGTCACCAAAGCACTTCTCCACACGATCTATCTTAGATGATGGTGTCTGGTAAATAAGCCTCAATCTGTATTAGCTGCCCAGGCTAAGAAAAAGCTGCCCAGGAGACCCAGAGCAGAATTGCTGTAGGTCCACACGTATTACTTATGTTATTCCTGCCAACCCTGTACATCTCCCCCTTCCTCTGCTGTGTTAAAACATGTGTTTTCTGTTTCTGCCCCTCCAGATGACACTCCACAAAGACCCAGAGAGTGAAGACTTTGGATTCAGTGTGTCGGATGGCCTGTTAGAAAAAGGTGTCTATGTAAATATGGTCCGTCCGGATGGGCCAGCAGATCAGTGTGGCCTCAAGCCATATGACAGAGTGCTTCAGGTAATAAGTGCAAAATGCAGTTCTGGAGGCTGGGACGGAGTGAATGAGTGGCTGAGAGGAAGAGAGAAGTGAGACCCATCCATGGCAGCACTAACTTTAATGAAAGGTAATAGTTAGCCGGCTAGGTGAGCTCTTACCACCAAGCACTCAATGAGACCTGTGTTTTATAATGAGAAATCACTAGGTAGTACCCCCAGGTGGTACCCCTAGGTTACACCTGTTCCAGGACACAGCCTGTCCTGGCACTGGCATTTTTGAGCTTGGGCAGCTCAAAATAACCAAAAAGCTGTATTGCTTCCTCTCCTCACCCTCAGTCCTTTTCCTGATTTTTGGATGAACTAGACTGTGTTGACCAATACGTGTTCCTGCGAAGCCCCATGCGGAGTTAAGTGGTGTTCATGAACTTCTGTGCATGCCTTTGACAACTAAAAGAGTTTTCTAGGAAACACATCCTTCAAGCAAAATGTTTTTCATGGATATTTTTCTTCGAATGATACTTGATCTCAAATAGCTGATGCAGAAACAGAATAAAAACTCTGGTCAAAAGCACAGTCTGGAATAAATGTGACCTAGGCATCTCGGACTACTAGAGGGACAGTAAGACCATGGTGAGTTTTGGAGACTGGAGAGGAACTTTATATGGATGAAAACAAACTATTTTAGCTTTGGGGCAACTCAAACAGCAACTGTGAGAAAGTGCAACCCCAATGGAAAAATTGCCATCATTTGGAAATGCAGATATTGTGACCATATTTGGAAACACTCAGAAAGATGTTTAGTTTTGCTAATTTCTAGGCGGGGGTTGTTAGCAGTAGGATTAGAGCCAATATATTGTGTACATCAGGTACCTGGAGAACTGGCAGCACTGTGGGGAGCCTTGTTTAAGCTTGTTATGGTCTCTAGCCAGTTGGCTGTTATACAATTATTCCTTCTCTGCTTCAAATAAAAGATGGTGCAAGAATGAACAAGAAGCTAATTAGGCTGTGGGCTGCCTTTCTGTTGAATGTTGGATGTGTCACTTTTTGCGAGTGCCAAGTGCTCTGGGAGGTGTGCCCAAAATCCTAAACAGAGCAGCATGGAGACTTTCGACACCCCCTTCCGCATGCTGAGCTGCACGACTTACACCTACAAGAAGCCGAGGTGATTGCCGTCACGTTGACATGTGGAGTTGTGAAGGAGGGATTGCAGACCTGGTACAGGCAACTCCTGTCAAGAAGTACAGAGATGCATTGCTGAGGGTGCTTCACAGTGCTGCTGATTATGGGCATGACGATGTGCCTGAAGGCCAGCAAAACACCTCGTCCCTGCTGTAACAGACCCTCTGCCTCTCGGCTGGATGGATTACCTGGAGCATGGCATTGCACTAACAGCACTTCGGCACTGGAACTGCCTGGCTGGCACAGACCAAAGGCAGAGCAAGCACATGGCTTATCTCTCCTTCTCTCCATCTGGTCTAGAAATTGTCCTTAGTTACTACACTGTAAGGAGTAGTATTGGGGTCAACTGTGTGGACACCAGCTAGGGCAGGGGGACACTGCTGTTGTCACAGAGCCCAGCTCTGTGGGCATGCATTAATGCTGGGAAGGGGTTTTGGATGGAAGGGTTGCATGGACTCGTCCAACCCTTACCCAGAGAAGGAAGAAACGCCTGGCCCCAGGGGTTTATGTTTGCTCCAAAGGTGGGTGGGAAATTCCTTTCTCCCTTCCCTGCTTCCACTCCCCGTGCCATTTGCCAGCGCTCTCCATCCCAGAGCTGTCGTGGCACCAAGCCCAGGCTCTCTGGTAGCTGTAGGCAAGAGAGCTGGTGTGGTTCTTGCAGGTGACCCAGCCTAGAAATGCACTTGAAGGGCTGCAAGAGACAGCAGTAGATGTGCTTTCACTGCTGAGTCCTGCAGAGAGAATTTGCAGCCGCCTTTTGAGCCCACATGAAATACATCCAGACTCCTCTGAAATGAAGGATATAAATGAGGAGAAGCAGAAACTGTTCACTATAGTCTCAGTTTACTGCTGGCTGAGCTGGAAAATGGTTCGCAGAAGCCTCAGAGTCTGAGCTGTATTTGTTTTCTAGGCGCTGCATCGCAAATTTAAGGCCAGTAAAAGCCACAATAGTAAAAAAATCATGGAAAACGGCAACCTTTCTCCTACTGGCTTGAACTGGAGAACTGGTTTTGAGCCCTGCAGTGTTTGATACTTGTAATACTGCCCCAGACACTGAGGGTGAGTCAGGGTTTATGCCTGACCCGGACTTCTTTTTCCCCCTTCCTCTACCAGTTATTGCATCATTTCTCAGCTAAGCAAGGATATGCTCAGCCTGAAGGGATGCCCCCGCTCTGCTCTGCTGTGAACCTGGAATCAGGGACCCCCAAGAGTTGTGTGTTTTCACAGGTGTGAGTTTAACACCAACTTGCATTTTCTGACTAACAAACATGGTCTTTTTGTTGTTCCTCCCCCTGGCACATCCTAAATCCATCCCGGCAGGTAAACCGCATCCGAACGAGAGACTTTGACTGCTGTCTGGCTGTTCCCCTGATTTCGGAGGCTGGAGATAAGCTGGACCTGGTGATTAGCCGAAACCCCTTGGCACTGGCTGCCAACGCTCCCCCGGAGGGGAACAGAGAACTGCCTGCTCAGGTGGCCTGCGGCGCTGAGGTCAAGGCGAGCGTCCAGATGCTCTGAACAGCGGGAGCAGAGCAGACGGTGCCCAGGGCCTCTGCTGAGCCATTGTGGTATTTGGGGTGTTTTTCCTGTTTTTTGCACTGGTATTTGTAAACGCTGTGTGTTCCATAACCTGCAAGGGGGGAGGTGGGTCTTCAACGAGCCTGTAGACCACCAAGTACTGCTGGAAAGGTCAGAACTGGATGCGCATCTTGGGCCGTGGGCAGCGTTGGTGATGGGGCAAGCTGCCGACGGGAGGAAGGAGCATCCACAGCCATCCCCCATGGCAGGGCGTCCCCTGGTGCCCCAGCCCTTGGGGTGCATGGAGTCCTGCCTTCAACATCCTCCTCACCCTGAAGGCCTTGCCATCCTATAAACACACATGGTGCTATTATGTTTTTTGTTTGCTCGGTTAATCATGTATAGCAAGACTGAAGCGCCTTTCCTTTTCTGTTATGCTCGGCTCTGTCCTTTAAACACTCCTGATAAATCGATTTCTGCAGCCCCTTGCACTCCTGGTGCGGGGCTGTGGTGATCTCTGCTTAAAGGACATTTCAAAATGTGCTTGTGAGTGGCTAGATGCGATTCTTGTTCAAAAATTGGTATTTGCAGGCTGCCTTCTGCCAGCCCCATCCATGCTCCCCACCAGGGCTGGCTTGCCCTGCGGTGGGATGAGGCACCTCATCTTGCCATCGATTCCCATGAGCAATGTGGTTACCTGTGCTGGAGTAGATATTACAGAGCAGAAGGCTGTACCCAAGGCTAAAGACCTGTCCAAATCCCCAGCCACCCTGTTTGCCTGGGCTTTGCAAACCTGGCCTGTGCCCACAAGTAAATAGCAGAATAACGATCTTCCCAGGGCTGTCCCTGATTTTCTGAATTACTAAAACCTTGTTGTCTCCCATCAGGAGTGGCACGAGAAGCCCTTTGTTAGGTGGAGTTTGTGTCCGCTGTGTCCCACGTGGGCTGGGTGGTGCGTGTGCCCATGTGGGTTCAGCTGCTCACCCCCAGTCCGACCACCTTTGCCTCACTGGCCTCTCTGTGGCTTTGCAAGCATGACTCCCCATGGTCGCTCTCCTCTCTTCAGAGAGCTCTCAGCCCCACGGGGAACAGCGACTGTGGTGTTTGCGTTGGTTTCCTCATCTGCCTGCCGTGTTTCACGTATTTGCACTTTATGATGATGTTCATGTCGCAGTGGTGATGTGAGCCTGGCATCCCTTTCCCCAGGATGGTGGAGACAAGGAGATCGCTCAGTTGGACACTGCAGCCCCGGTGCCCACTGCCCCCGTTCCCCACCCATCTTTTCTATTCCTCCTTCACTGCCTGCGTGCTGGCGGTGCGTGTCGGGTGTGGAATAGGTGTACAGCACACGTTTGTCACTTTGCTGAGCCAGGACTCATCCCCCCACTGTCTATCCCCAAGCCACTGTGCGACTCTGTCCCTCTGCGATAGTGCAACGTATCGGGGTGTTTCTTCCAGACACGTGCCCAGCCCCATCCAGCTATTTGTCGTTGTAGCCATTTTCTCTTCAAGTATGCAATATCCCATACCATTGCTGCCACAACTAGATAATGTGCCATAATTGATACTGTGGAGCATTGACAGTGCAGCCGAAGGTGTTTTTATATGCAATATTCTGAGCAGTGGAAGCTCACTGGGGCTTCTCATAGGTTTTTAATGAAGACTTTTATTAAAGGCTTTAAAAAATTAAAAAAAAAAAAAAGGAAGAAAAACTTGGTCCTTGTATCCCTTCCTATGCATTTTGAATGATATGAAGATGAAATGCATTACTTAAATGTGTATTTTTATCCATATATTAGAGTGTATTCCTTGTAAAGTATTTTTATATGCTAATTTTCTTATGTATCTATGAAAGCACAATATTTAAAAGTACAGCATTTCAAAGAATATTTTAGTCCTGTTTTGGACCTATTTGTAAATCTCTGTATTTAAATGGGATTGCAATGACTTTGACTTTTTTTTTAATTAAATAAAAGCAAATGAAATGCGTTATGATTTGTGTCTCTGCTGGAGGACAATAATGAGGCAACACTCTGCTTCCAGCCCTGTTTTAATTTGCCAGAAGACCCCCAGTTAAGAGAGACCTCAAAGGACAAGGGGGAGGGTACGCAGGGGGTTTAGCTGGGGAGCTGCTGCTTGTAGCGCCACTGGTATGGGGCTGA